AGAGAGGTATTCTGTGCCTCACACTGGAAAACACTCCAAACAGCTCTCAGCTGTGCAGCCTGAGCGCTGCTTTCTCCCTCAGTAACAATTCGTTCAGCAGAGGAAAAGAACCTGTGAGTGGTGTTGCTTTGGCTCACTGCCCAGAATCAGTTGAGGGGGAGGTGGAGCGCTCAGTACAATGGGGCTGGAATCCTGCCACTGAGAGGCCAATTTACTTAATTTTTCAAGGGCCAGTTTCATCTATTAAACCCTTTGGTACCCCTTTCTTCACCCCCAAGTTCCACCAATACTGTCGGCTAGAAATCAGCCTACCTTTTTCTGTTTTTATGTTAGGAAGGGCAATGTACCTAACACCCTTTATTTTTTCTGGTTTTTTCTCTGGGGGTTTTACAGGACCATACTTTCTGTTATAATTTAGTAACTCTTCTGCAACTTCACTCCATGTCCAGATTTTGTGTTCTCCAGCAACTGAATTGTGTTGTGAGTCTGTGTGTGGTGAAGAATTTGTGTATGGAGAAAACCCAGGATCAACAGATCTACTTTTATTATTTGGGTTTCCCAGAAACCTGTCCAGTCTTTCTACTGGGCTTATGGCAGCTATTTTTTTCTGGAGAAGGATAACAGTGGGTTTAAGCGATTCTGGAAGGCCACGAATTAAAGGGGTCATAATTTCAGCTTTCACAGGTAACAACATTGGTGATTCATAGCCAGCAATTAATTTTCTTTCACGAATCAGTTGCAAACAAGCTGCTTTATGACTATTTTATAAAGTTTGGTCTGGAGAGCCGGTCAAAACTACAGGATCTCCCCTTTCCAGGGGGTTAAGTCCCCCTGCCCAATATGCAGCTTGCTGGGTTAGGGACCATAGGTTGCAGTTATCTCCTGTTGTTATGTCCCCAATAACCACTTGCTTCTTGTTCAGGTAATTGAATTTGATCTCCCCCTGTGAAAGACACTTGAAAAATGTATTCTGTCTCTGACTCGTGAGGGAGACGCCCGTACTCCTTTTTTAGTTTGGCCAGTTCAGTAGCAGTGTACGGGATTTCTTTAGTGGTTATATGTGGATCAAGGTCTTCATCATTGATATAATTATATTCTGTTTTAATTAAGGGTCTCATTTGGGAACAACAATTTTCACCACAACTTTTTACCAAATGTAATTCTGCTTGAGGATATATGTGATTTATCTGAGGCATTTCTTTCTTCAATGACTCCTTAAAGGAATCAGCACACCGTGAATTTTTGGCACGTTCCTCACTCAGGGCAGTTCGTAAGAAATGATTTTCATTTTGCAAACTTTCAACCAAATTTTGTAGGGATTGAATAATTACATTTTCTTCCTGCCTCGTCTCATGCAGGCCTCTACAGCTGACATAAGGCAAGCTCCCAGTACAGAACAAATTATGGTTTTATTTTGGCCAAATTTTGATTTTTCTTCATGTTGTATCAACAGCTATCTATCAGTTACATTTTCCAGGTTGAACCAATTATTTTGAGCCCATTCTTCCCCAGCTGGAGAGGGCCTAGCGTCATGTTTTGCTAACAAAGCAAAAAATGTAGCTTTATCTTTTGCACTAGACTCTTCAGAGTTTTCATTCATCTCTATGTGTGAAGGGACCAATACCACTACAGGGAGCTAAAACTTAGTTACGCTACACAGTCCACGCTATGTTTCCCTTCGCTTCCTTGTATGGGTGGAGAGACCAAATCTGCTTGGGAGGTGCTCTTTCAATTTAAAATATCTGGTTGTCTCTCCACTACACCAAGCAGTTAAAATATATTATAAAAGAAAAAAAAAAAAATCAGTCCCACCTTTTGTACTCATAGATCCCTTGCTAAATTCTGAAGACAGAGCCCTCAAACAAGTGTAGGGGTGTTTTTCACCTGTGCGTGTGCAGTTTGCGAGAAATTCGAGTCGCCTCCCTTGCTTTCTAGACGCTGCTCACCAGCGTGGCAGGCTAGGGGCAGCTGAAGTGAAACGTCCTTCCCCTGATTCAGACTGCACAACAACCTGCAACCCCTTCTGTCTCTCAGAATCCTGTCCGTGACGCCAATTTATGTCACGATCCACAAGGTGGGATTTGTGATGTGGTTTTTTTAGTCAGTCTTAGAGTACAAAAGATTATCAGCAAACCAGGGACTTAAACAGCAAAACACACTTTATTGAGTGCTCATCAGCACTAATATGCAATAGAGGGAAAAGAGGAGAAAGCAAAGCATAAGGAAAAGAGAGTAAGGGCATTATAGCTACCAACATCGAAGTCCACTCAGCCGTCCATCGACGCAAAGTCTTCTGTCTGTTGGGGGGATCTCAAAGGAAAGCAAGTTTTGGGGTGTATTTTACAGTCTTTTACAAAGCGAGGGGCACAGGGCCAAAACCAGAGGAGACTGATGAGCATGGTGAAGAGGCCCATTGCTCAGGGGGGCAAGCATGGGGTACAAGTCTCTACTCGCCAGCAGGAGCGAGGGCAGTGTACCGTGGTAGCACAGCAAACACACCTGCAAACAATCACTTGGCAAACATCCACCTCAACCAGGCCACAGCCCCTGTACCGAGTCCCTTGTGATATTCAGGGTCTTTGCTGCCGTTGTGAGACAGATGGGAGAATCTTCGGACCGTCTCTTACGGCTGGTTAGGAAGTGGGCAATTTAATTTCTCTGCAAGCATGAAATTCTAGCATGAATTAATTTGCTTCATGCAGAGTCCTGCTGTTTTCTTTCTTCAATCATTGTTTACTACATAAATTCACACCTCATGTTCTTTGATTGTTATTATTTTTTCAACAACTTCTGCTTTCTTCAGTGGATGCCTTGGATTTCTAATGAATAAATTAACTCCTAAAGAAAAACAGGAAGATCAGCTCATCTCAGTAAGCCCCACTAAGCTACTAGGGCTAATTTTAGTATGTAAAGTAAGAAAACCAATAGGACTGGATCATGTTTGTTGGACAGAACCACAGAGAGACAACTACAAAGCTTTGGAAAGGCTTCAGAAATGTTTGGAGAATACAGATCACTAGAGAAAAAGGAGTTTTTAGGTGGTAAGCATCCAGAGAGTGAGAAGTTTTGGACTGTTCAAAAGACAATAATGTTACTGTTTTGGAGCACCTAAAAGAAAGATCTATAGGAACAGATTATATTTTGTCTGTGTAGAGAGACCTTTCCTATCAAAACCTAAGTAGCTCGAACATGTTTACATGCAGATTTCGTTATTTTAATAACTGAACTAAATATAGAAGAAAGATAGAAGCATATGTATAAACCACAATGAATTCTCAACAAATAAAGTGAGAAATTACTTATGATAAATCATAAAATTTAAACTAATTAGGTGTAGTATACTAATTATTACACTGGATTTCATAAACAAAAATTCACCTAAAAAACTTGCAATGTCAGCATTTTACATATCAGTAAAATGATATGTAAAATGTCATAGTACCACAGAATTTATTATACTCTTGAAACAGTGAGCCCTATGTATACAGGATATGATCCTGTATTACTGAAAGGTTCTTGTAAATTCCCCCTTTTTTGTCACTAAATAGCTCAATACAGCCCAAACAGTGGAAAGGCTGGTCATCAAATTGGTCAGATCAATATTTGTCATCATAATGTGACGATTATTTTTCATACAAGTCACATCTCAGAGATTTCTGTCACTGCCTGGAGAATTATGTTTTTCTAGACCACCAGACAAAGTTATGGTTTTCCTTATATTGTTCTAACTTAAACAGCATCTGAGAAAATTTCCACTACCTAAAGCAGGTCTCAGTCAGTCCTGTTGTTAGTAATGTTAGAGAAAAAATACTGTGTTTGACCTTCTCAACTCACATCACCCCCTCAACAGTAATGGAAAATGACCTGCTAATAAGCATTCATTTCCCTGCCTTGCAGTCTGAAATCAACAGTTTGGAGGTGGGAGAAGCTGATAATATGTGGAGGTAAAGGGAAAACAACCTTTGTGAACAAGCAGGAAAAGTGTATTAGGAATCCCCAAAAACAAAATCAGATTTCCAGCTATTCATTGTGAATGAGAGAAGGAAAACAGCAGGAAGTTCCTTGGCTTACCTGATAGTTTGGGAGCTAGCTAAATTTAATGTGTCCGACTAACTCACATGGACTAGGACATAAGTGGGATGTAACTTCTTCAAATTCAGCATTTTGCTGCCTCTCAGGTAACAAATGGTCCCTTGGTAGCAACACATTGCTCATACATTTACAGATATCTCTGGGCTCTTGCAAAGGCTGGATTTATTATAAGGGATGACACTGATCAGAGAATCACTGAATCAGGTTCCTGGTGGTTTTATACTTTATCAGTGGATGTTACAAAACATTTGGCCTGAAGCACTGTAGATCTGATTTGTAAATAAATGGTAAGATATTTTCAGACTAGCTTATGAATATATGTGAAGGACAAAGCCTGCAGGAACAGAAGTGGAGTACAGTCATCGATACGTTCTGCTATGATATCTTAGCATCATTTTTTGTTTATTCCCCGAAGAGAAGCAGCAATTTCTGAGGTGAATGGGGACAAGAGATAAAAACAGAATTTCCATGAAAAGACCAGCTGTACCCTGAGAGGCATTAAGCGTAACATAGCTGACCAGTCAAAACCCATTGTCCTACTACATCCACCACTGATGTGTCCTCACCTCAAACACTGTAGATTTCCCTCCACAAACATAAGAAGGAGATAAAAGTATCAAAATGTGTACAAAGGAGGGAAAAAAGGGTGTTGAAAGGACTACAAAGCATGGCTTACGGGGAGCAGCTAAAGATACTAGTTTTTTTCTGGAGGACTCTGAGGGGTGACCTCATTTCTCTTTATACCTTGGTCATGGTTTGACACTGGCCCAATGCAGGGCACCCATGAGAATTGCTCACTCGCCCTCTCCTTCTACAGCTGGGCAGTGGAGAGGGAAAAAATTAACTAATGCATCATGAGTGAGATAAGCTCCGGGAGAAAACACTTCAAGAGCAAAACCAGGCTCAGCTTAAGTTGCAAAGCGAATTTATTACTAGCAGAAGCAGAGGAGGATAACGAGACGTAAAATAAGCCCTTAAACCACCATTTTCCTCCCAACCTCTCTATCCTTCCCATGGACAACGCAGGGAGACCAGGCATGGGGTCAGCTCACCACTGAGATTTTTTTCTACTGCCCCGGGAGAGGAGTCCTTCCCCCGTGAGGCCGAGGGGTCCCTGCCGGAGGGAACAGCTCTCCGGGAACTTCCCTGGCGTGGGGCCGCTCTCAGAGCAGCAGCCAAAGCGCAGCTGCTGCAGCGGGAGCTGCCCCCAGGGCCGCACAGCGCTCCCCAAACTGCTGCAGCGGGGCTCTCTCCTCCACGGGCCGCATCCTCCAAGGACAGGCCGCTCCGGCCTGCAAGCAGGGCCCTCGCTCTCCTCCGCCTCTCCCACTGCATCACGGCCTCCTCCGGGCACCCACCGCTCCGGCGTGGGCACCTCCCCCAGGGGCTGCGGGTGGATCTCTGCGTTCCCCGGGGATCCCCATGGGCTGCGGGGCACGGCTGCTTCACCGCGGTCATCAGCGCGGCCTGCAGGGGAACCTCGGCTCCGGCGCCTGGAGCACCTCCTGCCCCTGCTTCTCCACTCACCGCGGTGTCTCCACCTTGTTTCTCTTACGTATTCTTACCTCCTCCTTTTCTCTGACTGGAAGAAAAGCCCACCTGAATTTGTTTTGATTTTCTTCTTAAATAGATTGCCACAGAGGCGATACCAGTCTTTCTCACTGGCCCAGCTTTGGCCAGCAGCATGTCCACCTTCAGAGCCATCAGGGATTGCCTCTGCCAGACATGGTGGAAACTCCTGGCAGCTTCTCACAGAAGCCGTCTTCGTGTCCCCTCTGCTACTAAAACCAGGCCATGCCAAACCAATACAACCTTCTGCGTAAATGGAAGGGAGCTGCTGATCTCTTCTCTGGTGTCCAGTGAAAGAACCCATGGCAATGATTTAAAACTGCAGCAGGGGAAGTTCAGATTGTGGATTAGGAATAGGCTCTTTACTGAAGGATTGGTCAAGCAGTTGAACAATATTCCTAGGAAAATAGTCATGTCCCCAAGTCAACCTCCTAACCCTACACTGGACAACAGTTTAAATTTTAGTTTCCTCTGTGTGAAGTCAGAAGTTCCATGCTCCTCAGTTGGAAGTCCCTTCCAACTCAGGTTATTCTGCTGTTCATGGTACTAAGAGCTCTCCCACTCTTCAAAGAAAAGAAAGATCCATATAAGTGCCTGTGTTCCCACTTCTCTAAATAAACAACTTTGCTACTTTCCAACATTTTATCATGTGCGTAAGTAGAACTGATCATCTCAATAAAGACAATATCACAGTGAATATAGAAAAACATTGTAATTCTAGCATTTCTTACAATTCCCATTATTCTTGTGAAAGCTTGTTCCTGCTAGATGCACCATCTTTTTCTATACTGTGTGTAGTAAAGAGCTATTTAATATAACAGGACTTAGGACTTTAAATATTGAGCTGGTTTAGATACTTGTGGAGTTGAATTTCTTCACTGCGCCTAGTGTAGGATTCTGTTTTAGATTTGTACTAAAACCAGTGCTGATAACACAGAGATGTTTTAGTTACTGTTGAGCAACACTTGCACAGTGTGAAGACCATTTCTGCTTCTCACCCCACCCCACCAGTGAGCAGGCTGGGGGTGCACAAGGAATTGATAGAAAAACAGCCAGTACAGCTGACACTGACCATGAAGATATCCCAGACCTTATGGAGTCATGCTCAGTACATGAATCTGGAGGAAGATGAAGTAAAAGGGAACCATTTGGAGTGATGGCATTTGTCTTCCCAAATCATTGTTACCCATGATGGTGCCTTGCCTTCTTTGGGATAGCTGAAGACCTGCCTGCCCCTGGGAACAGGGGAATTAATTCATTGCTTTCCTTTATTTGCTTGTGTAGCTTTTGGTTTACCTCTTAATCTGTCTTTATCTCAACCCATGAGTTTTTTTTACTTTTATTTTTCTCATTCTTTCCCCAATTGTGAGGGAGTGAGCAAGTGGTTGCCTGAGGCTCAGTTCTCAGCTGGAATTAAAGCATAATAAATATTCTTACATTTCAGTAAAAAAAAAAAAATTAACTAGCTCCTAGAACCAGTTTTGATTCCCTGGAAAGTTTATTCTGAACTTCAAAATGCTTTCCCAGCAAAAAACCATAGCAATTAAGATGGATGTCTCTGCATTACACAAAACAATGTTTAAGAGTCAAATGCCTACTCTGAGGCTATGATATTGGCCCAGAAGTATTTCTGTTTTTTGATCACCTAGCCTGTTGCAATCTTGGTATGAAAAAGGAAGGAAATAATTTGAGTGGCAGCAATTTGCAGCTGCTGAAAGACATAGAGCAGGAGCTCAGAAAGGATTGACAAATTGCTATAAATTATTTTTCACTGTTTGAAAAGGAGTCCTTATAGAAGAAACATGTTATGTTTTTAACTGATTGTACAGAGAAGGTGAGCATCTTCTTGCCATCTGCTGTATTTCTAAGTCAAGAGCCCTTAAGGATGTCACTAGTGCAATAGTAAGCTAGACTGCAATTAATCAAGAACTGCATGAGACGAAATTATGTTTCAGTTTTTTTCCTGTGCAATCCATTTTGTGGCTTCAGAGCATGAGACCTTACCTCACAGCACCTTTGGAATTTTTCCAGAGAGCTTCTAGTTGAGTAATTCTTCCGTTAGCATTGCAGAAGAGGAATGTAGCAGTTATGTCTCAACAGGAGATCAACGTTCAGGCCAGGGGAAAAGATGAAGAACACATTAGAAAACACTTCCCCTTTTGTACTAAAATTGATGGGGAAAGGGAAGGAAGAATGAGTTTAAGTGATGCAACTGCCAGAAACTTACCAACTGTTCCTTCATGAAATAACCAAATTTTCAAACATACCTGTCCTGGGTAAAACAGAAGCCAAGTTGCATTCTTTCTCAAGAGGAGACATGGTCAAAGGAAGGAATGGACAGGCTGAATTTACTCAGTGATTTACTTAGTGATGATCTCATCATCTCCTTCAAACTCCAGTGCTCCTGGGAAAGCAGGTTACTACCTCAGATAGAGGTTCCCAGATTGCTCTTGTGTCCTAATTTGCTCCTGAAATGCATATGATTTACAGAATAGTCAATAAAATGCACTGAGTATGTATCAGGATCATAATTCTCATATACCACATATACCACTGGTTTACAGCTGAGTGGAGTAGCTGGTATGGTGATAGACTCCTGACATGAATTGCCTTTAATAAAAACAGAGAATTCAGTACAGAAACTTACCAAATTTTCAAAAATGCCCAGGAGAAAAAATATCTTTGTTCTGACCAGAACTTTGCAAGCTAGAGCATACTTAAGGGTAGTATATGGCAACCTTGAAGAGAAAGGATTAAACAACACTATTGTTATCCAATATGTCCTGGGGACAAGCAGTTTTGTGACTTCATTTGCATTGTCTCTGAAGTGGGGATAAATAATAATTACTTTCCAAATCCAGTGAGATATATGAAGTACCTCTCTGAAAATCTTTTATAAAACTTCATACTTCAATAGCATTTGCTTATTAGCATGAAATTGGCTCTCAAGCTGTTCTTGGCTTTTTCATAAATTTGATTTTCTGCCAAAGGAACATATTTTTTCTTCTGTTTAATTTGTCTTTGTCTATTTACTTTAAGGCTTGCCATTCTAGATGAAGTTCAGTCAGTTTCATGAAATTTCAGTTTCATGAAAATCCATATGTTTCTTACTTGCTGTCTGTGATACAGTTAGCTGTGCAAAAGGAATGTTATGTCAGTCAGCACTTTGCCACTCTGTGTGGAAGAATCCTATGCATTTGATTTCTCTTATTTAGTGTGTGGATGTGGTCTTTCTCCTTATAATTCTATTGTGTTAAAGCATAAAAATAGTGGATTGAAAGAAGATTAAAGAAAAAGTTTTTAGTCCCATGTAAAGTAGCATGTGCTTTTATCTATCCTACCTTTACTTTTCTTTTTATCAAGATTCAGGCATATGATACATTAAGGAAATAAGCAACTTCTGCAGGCTAACCTGACTCTCTTGAGCAAGGGACAAAGACATTTCAAATATTTGGTTTACACATAGATCTGCATTATTTAAAGTTTAATTTATTCTATCAAAAGAAAATGCTACCCAGGGCAAGACTCAGAGCAGCCACAGCTAGATGAGCACTTACACAAATGCACCCTGATATAAAAGCTTGGCATGCTCCTGTCACATATTTCTGATGGAAACTAGGAGAGCGTAGAAGAGACTCATTCATGTATTTTGTCTAACATTACACGTGGGGAATGTTTCCAATTAATATGCTAGATTTCTGGACCTATCTATTTCACAAAAAAATCATTAAATTTGGTCCAGAACTGATGTTTGAAAATCTTGCTCAGCCCCCACTTAATATTTATAATAGAGTAGAAGCTCTATTGCTAGGAGAGTTTCTAGGATTAGCATTAGGGTTTAGATTTAGGGTTAGGTACATAGGCTACCCATGTTACTGTATTTCCCAAGTCAACGGCTGTGCTGAGGAAAAAGATTTTGAAATTAGCATTTAAAGACTATAATAACACATAAAACCACTTTAGTGTTACACAGTTGTAAGCAAGGAGAGAATTGCCCTTATCTAAGTAATTAAACTCTTATCAGATTAGATATCTAATGCAACATACACAGTTTATGAAGGATATCTGCTGTGCTTAAAAAAGGGATGTCAAAAATTTATCAAGTGTACTATATATGCATAGCACTCAAATTTAAGTGTGTTTGGAATAATGAGATAAAAAATTTAATTAAAATAATAAATTCATAGTATTTAGCCCTGCAAAACCGCTTAGGCATTGAATTTGTCTTTGAAATTCTATGTTACAACCATTTTGCTGCATGAAATGTTTTAAAACAGGTCTAAAAAGATCCACATTGAGTTATAAACATAGGTAAAATATTATTTTAATTTGTAAAATTCTAAAATCAATGTTTCTCCCATTTCTAAATTAAATTTTAAGAAGTGATTGTACTCTAAATGTTATCTTACAATTTTTATTTTGTAGTGCATTAAGGAGAGAAGACAAGGATGTTAGTTGAAGCTGAAATTACACATAGTCTTTTAGTTGTCTTGCAAACTTATGCCAAAGCATTTTATGGATGATTTATGCTCACTGCTTCCCTAGGCTTGGAAAAGATTAGCAGTCATGCTAGCCTGCATAATGGTTTTCATCTGCTGAAAAGTGTGCATTAGAAATTACATTTAAATGCTCACTTATTTCACGTGCTGGCCTGGGAAGAATTCTATTGTGGTTGCAGTTACCGCTGTGTCAGAGGGCAGACTTCTCAGCACCCTTCTCCTTAGAAACGTAGCCAGCCTTTTTTTGTCAGGTGTGGATATAATGTATTTTTTTTTTCCAACAGTAGAAAACTGTTGCAAAATATAATAATTTATAACTATGTTTGAAAGGTATCCCCTTAACCATAGTGTACAAATTTGGATTTCTCAAAACACAAAAGGTTTTACAATATTTTGATAGTTTTAATATCTGGAGCACATAGGGGTGTGTTGAAATGTGAATGTTTCGGGGTGGGTATGTGCATTTCCTCTGCCATCACAAGGTTTTCCTGGAACAGCTGCCTAGTCTGTATGTTTTTACCTTGGATAACTATCATCAAAACTTGTATCATTCCTGAAAAAAAATCCTAATTATAGGAGGAAAAAAATCTTAAATTATGACACAAACTTTACCTTTCTAAGGTTTCATCTTCTGGCAAAAAATAATTTCATTCTGGTTGACCTACACTGTTACTGCCTGAGTGTGTAGCCTCCAAACAGCTAAAATACTTGCACTGGTGTCTGTGACTCAGTACATAAAGCATTCTCCACCAAATTTTCCTATGCTTGGCCTTTCTTTTTTTCTTTTGGCAAGTAGAAAAATGGAGAACAAAGCATAGGTGAGATATTGTTGTATTTCTTCTAGGGTGGCAAAGAGAGCTGTTGCTAGACATTCATTTCATCTCAAGACGAGAGAAGTGAACTGCCCAGCCACAGCTCCAGGACTCCAAACTGGTTGGTGGACCTGACTTGAGAAAGCTATAAACTTGTTTCTACAAAACACTGTTTCTGGTGAATTATCAGTTATGAGGGGAAAATGAACCCCAAACCCTCAACTTTCCTTTACCCAGAATGCTCTGTCATTTAGGAAAAACAAAACCAAACCAAAACCAAACAAAGAAAACATCAAGAAACAAACTAAACAAACAAAAAAAACCCAACAAAAAGCAACAAAAAAAACATAAAAGAATTTTTTAACCTAGCATGTGCATCACACCTTTGATCACCATTCGGTCAACAGATATGAAAAACAATTAATCTGCCTCTATGCTTCTTATATAATGTCATCCTAATTACAGACTGGATACCCAAGCACAAGTAAATGTGTAATAAAAGTGTACCAATTCACCTTCTTTGAAGTCTCTGTATTCCCATCTAGCTGGCTCCCTGATTATTTACCTTCAGATAAGCTTTGGGAAATGTTGCTTTTAATCTTTGTGAAATACATTCATAATTTGGAGAAGAAATTACCATCAAAGCGCTTTATGTTATCAAGACCTGTACAGGATTTGGAGCAAGTTTGATTGCTTGCTTTTTTGAGCAAGATGTTGGCAAAGACACTGATCCTATGTATTTTTTAACTTTCAGGTAATAAAAATACTCCTCTGGACTGAAAATATCAAAACCAAATCTCTTCCTGAAACTGCATACCCCCTAAGCAGAGATCTCTTATGAAGTATCTTTGTAATAACCTCTGTTGGGTGAAATTATAAATCAAATGCCAGTGAAGCTCTATTCATTTTCACTTAGTAGCTTTCCTGCTTCATTAGCTCCTGATCCCTCCATCAGCTGAGTGATTTTCTGTTTCAAATATTAGATGCTTATATTTGTGCTATTGAGTTTTGTAAATGCCTAGAAGGAAACAAGAGCACAGCTCTCTTTTATTTGCAGATTTACCTCAAGAAATCCACTGTGATTTGTTCTGCCGACTGCAGCTCTACTGCTGCTGGGACTGCTGTGATTTATCTTCCTATGCAGGGGTCTTTTACAGAAGCTGTAGGTGTTACAGAATGCATTTAGAGGGGGAAGAAGAATCCTGTGTCTAAGGAGCAAATTTGTATTCCTGAAGGACATAGTTGGATGCCAGTCTTTCATTTGTCTAATCTTCTTGCATAGTCCATCCCCTGTAACTATTCTGTCTCGGCTTCCTTTATTTGATGTGACAGCCATGATGGGATTGGAGTAGTAAATACATGCTATCAGTGCTTAAGGAATGTTTTATCCTCTTATCATCGTATTTATCAGTTTAAATGTGACACTGGTTATATTCCTCTTCCTAGGCAGATAACGTGAGCACAACAGCACAAATATCACCCCCTCTGTCTCCAGGCACAGTCCTGTGGTAGAGATTTGACATTTTAAATATTTGCTTCATATGGCTCAATGAATTCAATCATGAAGCAGTAGCTTGGGCAACAGCAGTTTGATATTTCCACATTGAACCGAAAAAAACCCAGCTCTTTTTCTCTACTTCTTGCTACTAAAGTGATTGTAGGAACTAAACTAGACAGGATTGTTGAGCACAGACTGTGGGAGAAAGCAGCTTCTCTTCTCTTAGGAAACAAGAGAAAAAAAAAAAAAAAGATAGAAAAATAAAGAAAAGGCAAATGGAAGACAAAGAAACAATTCTGTGACTTTGGAAAGAAGATCTTTTCAAAAGTTACCTAATTTCAAACAAGAAAAATAGTATTTTTCTTTTCTCCTTTGTGCCCATTTTGTTTTATGGGGTTTTTTTTGGTTGGTTGGTTTTGTTTTGGGATGTTACTTTGGGGTTTGGTGGGGGAGGGGAGATTTTTTTCTTTGATTTTTTTTTTCTTTCTTGTGGGGTAGGTTTGTTTGGCTAGGCAGAGGTTTTCGTGATTTTGCATAAAATCATCCACCTAATATTCTGAGGCAATAAATACTGCTGACCTGAGTACTAACAGTACCATTCACAAAGCTCTGCTCCTGGTATTACAAATTAATTATATACCTGGAAGATGCAGGACAAATCTTGCTGGAGGAAAATTCTTTCTCAGGGTCACACAGGTATTTTTTTAGTAGACCTAGAAATGGAAAGCTAGTTAAGTGCCTTTACCACAACACATTTCCTTCCTTAAGCAGACTGGCTAAGTGCACCACATTACAAATTGCTGCATTGGTCACCAAGAAATAAAGCATTTAAGGGATTATGGAAGTTTAATTTCTATGGAAGTAGAAACACCATCAGATTCCCACACTTTCATTAATTCTGCCTTCCAGTGTGGCTCTTTCTTATGGCTTCTCACCTAAAAAGACACAAATCCAGTCACACCATTGTCTGAGCAAGCCTGGGCTGTTTGTTTATTAGGACATTCTGGTGTAGGGATGTGGCTTCCTATGAGCCTGGGGCTCTACCATCTCCTGGGAGAGCTGGACTGCTATAGCTAGTTTGGGGACCACTGAAGACTATTGGAGCCTTGCAGCAACATCCATTCCAAACTCCACAAAACCAAAACCCCACAGAGTTGTTCTACAGAATCCCACTTTTCCTCCTTTATCTCCACCTCAGTGTATAGCAATATTTTTTAAATTCTACTTTATCTAGTTTTACTAAAAGAAGTTCTATTTTTTATTACATTAATATTGGCACTCTATAATCACTTTTCCTGGGCAGAAGAAAAGCTGTGACAATAAGCCACCAATGACGTCTTAGCTTCCATGTAATGGCTTTCATTTCAACACGGAAGCATTTATCAGCGGAATGTGCGCTGGAAAACAAGATTCCATGGAGGGCAGCCAGGACTCAGAATTGTCTGCACTGACCTGCCAGAGGCTGCCAAGAATAGCAAAAAGACCAGTTTTTTTTTCAGACTACATGAGCTGCTGAGGGTTGTTTTCAATGATTTCTTTTAAAATATTAATTTCTTTCTAATAGAAATGTGATTATGGTGTCTGTCTGATGAAGTATTATTATTTTGAATTTTTCATTATTTCTTTGAAAGCATCTGGTAGAATACTTCAATATATCAGCAGGACACTGACAACAATTTTATTTGCAATGCGCATTGTCTTTTCCTTCTTTTTCTTCTGTCTCAGCTGTTTCAATTTAATCCTATGTTTCCTCTGGTAGAGTGGTTGACTTTTTCTATACTGCTGAGAGCCAGCCAGATGGTGTTTTGGGCTTTCTCCTAGAGCACAGATCTCATTAAGCCAGGAGTCAGTGGCTTAACAGGTCTTTATCTGTGTTACCTCATGGTAAAGACAGAAAAGCCAGATCAAATAACCCAATTAGATTCTGCTCTTCAAGACAGCTTTGCATTTTTGTCTCATTCCTTCAGATGACAGTGTAACACATCTGATACTACATGTGTGTGTGTGTCTGTCGTGTACAAACACACGTGTGCCTGCCCCATGCCTTTTCCCCGTGAATGCAATTTTACCCTTCCATTTACTCTACTGAGGCACAAACTGCTCTAGCCAGCTGTCATATTACTTGCTGAAGATGAAAAGTGCAGCTGAGTGAATTGTGTAACAGTACATCTGACTTCCTTATTTTTCCGATTATTTGATAAATTATGGACTGTAGGAATCAACATCACATTTTCTAAGTTTTTTCCAGCGTTACAGAAAATATATTTCCATATATTTCTTGTAGTGTGTTTTACTATACTTTAGTGTTTTCTACTGTATTTTAATGTTTTCTATTTGCGGCATAAGACCTAGATTTCATATTTAAAATTCATACATTATAAAAAGGTTACCAACAGAGTTTTATTAATCTCTAGTTTGTAAGACTTGGTGTTATTCAGTTAGTGTCCAAAGCTAAAGTGTGCCTTAACACGAGTAGTCAGCTGTCAGCCTTCTGCTCTTACAGAAATGGAGAAAAACAAATCTGTCTCCCATGATGTAGCTTTCAAGTACCACAAACTCCTATATATTTGATAGGGACTTACAAAAATGAAGAACCAGTGTAAGAGAATGCTTTCCATGTTAGAAATAACATAAAAAGTACAAAGCAAACAGGTAGCCTCCTGATGAAAAAAAAGGTTTATCCTTTATACTGGGGCATAACTTGCCTTTAATAAGACACGGCTCTGAGACGGCATTTTTTGAAAGGTCAGGGAATAAGATACTGTATTCGATACCAGAATATTATCCAAGTAATTTTCATGTATTTAATGGACATTGTCTGGTGATGGAAACTCTTTCAACAGGAGTTAATACTTTGCATTTACAAGACATCTGAAGAGAAAGGTTTAAAGTGCTGTGAGCATACATGCCTATTTCAATTCATCCTCCTGCAATTAGGTCTCAATGATGAGACTGTGGAAGGAAGAGGTGGGAAAGAAATGCAAGAAAGTAAACAAAAGAAATGGTCATAGTAAAATATATTGATAAATTACTGCACTTTCTTCTTAGGAGGCTTACTCAGCATCCTGAATCGTATAATTAATACACAATTATGTAACAGGTTCAGTAACCTGACTGTTCTGCTGCTGTAATCAAAGTGGTAGGACAGAGCTAGATGTCTAACACAGACCTCCAGCTTTTCTCTCATGAGCTACCAGTAAATACCATTCAAGATACTGTGGCACACACCAACAAGAGCCATGCACACAGTGAACCCATCCTGGCATCAGCACAGAGAAAACGGAATGGATGTTACTGTGGAAAGATGAGGAGAGGGAAGGGATATAAGGGAAGTGAGCAAGGCTGAAAGCTAACACAAGAAACAGTCTTGCTAATTTTGGCCCAGTATGTTGGTTTATCCATATGTGTCAATGTGAGATGCCTCCACACAGAACCAAACTAGGACTGTGATAGAAGTATAAAATATGTTTCTCCTTTAGCATCCACCATGAGTGATTTTTGGTATTGGTCTTTGTTACTGGAGTAAGTGGATGACCAAAAGATCCAGTCATATATATCATTTTTTGTTAACCCAAAGACATAGCCTTTGAAATCTACCTGGATAGCCTAAACCAAAGAAACTCTGGAGGTAAATGAGACTCACATGAACTAGAGTGTGTTTAAGACCATTACTAAATTCTTCATATTCCTGCATACTTTTGTCAGCTCAATGAAATCTATTTGCTTTTAAATCTACTTGCTTTTTGTGCATGCAGAAGAGTTTACCATCTCTCTTGTAATTTCTCCTGGTAATCTTACAGCTTCAGAAGAAAACTATGTATGTTGTGTAAGTTGCAGGTCTTGAAAAATTAGTAACTATAGCACTGCTTTTTCCTCTGCTGTTCTGAATATGAACAGAAAAACCTGGAAGTGAATCAAGTACTGAATAGAAGCAGACCAACTTAGATTCCCAAGTCGTTTCACCTTAAATTTCAGTAGAACATCAAGACAAAACAAACCATTTATAATGTAATTGTGACAACACCATTAAAATGAGAACATAATAGCAGGTATGAATGGACACATGCAAAATCTGGCCATTTAGTGAGAAATGTGATTTCCTTCATGACTCATTCACCTATGCCTCCAAACGCCTTTAGAATCGAGGTTAGCTCTCTGCTCTGTATCACACTTCCAGAAAGACTGTCAGACCAGATGCAAATCTGTTGTGATTGCAGAGAGATGGGGCCAATGCCTGTAGGAGACAGCTTCACCCATGGATCCAAACATCTGCTCATTTCTGATGCCAAGTCAGCACTAAGATTCTTACTTTCTCATTGTGTGAATGTCCTGCCCCCCAAAACCTCTCCACTATTACCAGCCCAATGTTATAAGCACTTGATCTTATATGATGAGTGCCAGGATGATCACCCATAAAAGGGTCAGGGCCTGGCACATCAAGTAATGGGCCCACCCTGATGCTCTACAGATGGTGGATAACTAATTGCACAGTGCAACTAAGAACTCTGAAAATTCAGATTTTCTTTTTTTGATCTGCATTCAATCATACTCATGAGTGTTCAGATACTTGACAGGTGTTTTATCACATTCAGAGTAGTGTAAAGGGTTTTGAAGTTAATTTTTTCTCCATTATTTTTCTCCCCTTCTTACCTCCTGTTTTTCTTAGGGTCCCCTAGACTCCCTCAAAATGAAACAAATCACTCTTAATTTAATTAATATCTTATGTGGAAATAAGACCACATAAAGAACAAATGTGAAACATTAGCAGGAAATGGGGTTATATACTTCATTTATGCCCATGAGATGTTAATGTACACAATTAGAGATGATTATTTAAACATTGACATTATTAATAATTGCAGTGTGGGGGTTTTCTTCTGCCAATAGATGCCTCACTCTGGTGCAAGAGGCAGAGCTGATTTTCAGGGGCAGTGTAATGATGTACCATTCCCCTGTCCAAATAGAAGCACTTTGAAACAGTGGAAATAGGAATGGAAGTAATTTGAAGGAATAGTGCATTGATATAGGCCGTAACACTTTAACAAGGTCCATAGTACCCAAACAGCTACAGCTGCACCATATCCTCCAAGTTCAAGTATTTTCTTATTTTTTGGCAACTTGTTCAGAGAATACTGTAGAGAAACTGAGAAAGTTCTACACTTGCAAATCAGTCTTCCCCAAAAGTATCTGTTTCTTCTGTGAAAGCACAGTTTGCATTTTGAGAGAAAATTCTGACTTTTTTTTTTGCTATCTTGAGGAAAAGTTCATACTCTTCCTCTTCAGGATCTTGTTTAATCTTGTTTAAACTTACAAGGTTTTTATAGAGGAAGTAAATGCACATGCATAAAGACCATTACAAAACTGTGTCCTGCAGAGACTTGAGCTGTTATTGCCTCTTGTCTCCTGAAAAAAAAAAAAACAACAACAAAAATTATTAGTTACATGTGTTGATAAGAACCCTTTAAAGCCAACACCTTAGCATGATTGAGGATGCAAATTATAATTTCCAAGGAAGGAATGACTATTCCACATAAATTGTAGAGCAACTGAATATGGGCCACTGATGTTCCAGAAAATGCTGCTTATACACACAAGGTTCTTGGCACTGACTGATGAGCATTAAACAATGTAAATCAGAAACAAGAGGCTACATCGTAAAAAAAAAAAAAAAAAATCCAGTGAACATTAATTAACATACACATCCTTTTTTTTAGCTAACATTAGCATTATATCAGTAAATATGGTGCTAAAAATAATTGTCTAGCAGAAAAATCTATGTGACATTAATTTACTATAAAATCTTTTTGACCTTTAACAAATGCGTGTACCATGCTGTGTTCTTTTAAGCATATGAATCCCATGAGTCAAAACAGGAGAAAATACATCCAGTCAGAAAATCCTGGTTTATGCTATAATTAACCCCAATGCTACTCTCTCCAGCTACTGCTCAGAAATTAGGAAACTACTGAGCTTCTATCTGGATCCTAGAAAAACCTTGTGAATTTCTTTTTGAAAGAGAACTACAGGAGAGGGTGTGCATCAAAAAGTGCTGTTTCAAGTATATGTCATTATCAAGACAGACATGTGGGGAACTAACTAGCATTTTTTAATTAAAAAGAAAAAATAAGGGTTGATTATAAAGCAGAAGTCAGAGAAGAGGAAGGATGAGCTTCAGAAAACTAAATTTAGAATGGCTTCTCTAATTTTGCTTGAAATGTTGATAACAATGCAAGGGGAATAATATAGCTGTGATTCTATGCAGCAATATGTTATTTTTAGGTCATTCTAGCTGTGAATAAAGCATGAACCTCTAGGGAGACTTCTCTTTTGTAGTGCTGGCCTTCTGCTAAAATACTTCTTTTCAGCTGTGGTGGCATGGATTTTCTGCTTCCTCTGTAACAGTTCATCTTACTCTCTCAGACTATGATTCATTTTAAATATAGATATGGGAATAGATATGGTACTTACTTATATCATCTCAGGAAAAGAGAAAGTAGCTGTGGTCTGAGCCAAAAACTGTCCTGTAAGTGGACAATTAAAAATATTCTAGGTCATAAAAAGGAAATACCAGTCTTATTTCTGATGTTACAGTACTTTATTTTTAATGAAAACACATGATATGTGTTTATGTTGGACAGCATAATGTCCAACTGTATTTTCCTCTATTTTTTTTCACCAGTAGTAGTTGATAATCTAATTTATTCCTAGCTATGGATAGTTTAATTTACTTCAATTTTTCAAAGAAAAAGGTATTTTCCTACTACTACTACTACTACTACTATTACTATTACTATTATTATGATTATTAAAAATAGGGAGTAACTGTAAGGTTAATTTAGCACTTTCATCCACAGCTGTAATTTCAAGGGATGGCTGAATCAGTTTGAGCAAGACAGGATGGAATTCAAGGCTAGAAAATGAAGATGCTAGATTTGCCTGGCATGGAACTCAACAGCCAAAATCTACAAAGAATAGCTAAAGAGCAAGTAAGCCCTGGGACTAAGATACAATTGTGAGATGTAAAAGATTCAAGAAATATGGATGCTATCAGTAGTGTTAGATGCTTCATTACCTTTGGAAAGCCATTTGCCCTCTCATTTCAGTAGTTTTCTGTCTCTTTCTGCATGAGATTTTTTTCCTCCTGTTGTTTAAAGTAATAGATTTCTGATACTCTATGAGCACTAAGCAGTTAGATCTCTAACATATCACGAACTGCAACTAAAAGCAAAAAAAGCTTAAAGATGACTCCATGTACTACAAAAGTGTAAAGATGTCAAATAATATTTTAACTACGGTTCTGCCTATATTCAAAGAAAATCCTCTTCCTTTTCTCTGTTGCATCAGCAAAAACTTCCTCTGCCCCAAACAGCTTGGATGAGTAACAGAAAACAAAAACCTCATCAATACTCAACTGCACTATTGGCCAGGCAAGCACATTATTAGGGAGAATGTTTATATACATTTTTTGACCAAACGTAAGTTTTTTGTTGCCAATTTATGAAGCCTGAAGATAGATATTCATAAAGCATTTTAAAAAAATACCTCTTTTTCGAGACAGTGAAATCTACTACAGCCATACTTTGTTTGCCTCCTAGCTAGTTTTAGAGTTAATACTCCATTTACCCATAGGAATACAATTTATTCTCTGGACGTATGTTTTGCTTGCTACACCTGCCTGCATTCACAATTGCTGGTTGTTAAGAAAAGCCTTCAGCCCTGGCATTGTTGCAATCTGCTCCTGGGGGACCCCTCTGTCCCACACCCTGTGGTGAGAGCCCTGCTCTTCACAGGAGGCCCAAACTTGCTGGAAATCCCGAGTTTATTGCATGTCATCCCACCGGGGCAAGAAAGAGAGCGAAATGTCCTGGGTCTTATCTCTTATACCAGGGGGCAGGGGTGATTAGGGGATGCAGGGAGGTCACAGCCAATGGGACGGGGGGAAGGGAAAAGGTTCTCAGGTAGGAACTAACATTACACAGACTGAAGGTGGGTTTTACCCCTGAGAGATACCAAGATTTTTAGATGCACTACAACATGGCACGACTGAGACAACCATAGAGTGGGTTTCTTTAGCTCTCTAGTCTTCCTTTAGGTACAACTGATGCACACACAGCATACACACATGAGCACACATGCAGATAGGGATACATAATGAGATGCAGAGCACCAGAGACTTCTCCATGGAAAATCTTGTCCACCTGATTTTCTATGTCCAACAGAAGAAATAAGAGGTATTCTGGAAGATCCTCAACATGCCAACATCATCCCATCCCATCTAAACCAGAAACTAGCTTTCATACATCCAATGCACTTTAAAAAAATGGCACTTTAAATAAATTATAAAATAAATATTTTATTCTAAAATAAATCCAATGCACTTTAAATAATTTCTTATTTTAGGTAATTTATTTTGTAATAGATTGAGATGAAGGGAAGAGGAAAAGAAAGAGATAATATGTGTGATCTCCCTAGAACATTTTCCTTCTCTTCTGGAAGGAGTGCTGCAAGTCCAAATACCCAGGGAATGATCCAGGCTTGCAATGCCTTGCCTTCCCCCTAGTCCCTGTGACTAGGTGGGCTCACCACCCTGGCCACATCTCCCAGAGGTGTCAGTGACACCTCTTCCTCAGCCCCCACCTGGGGTGACGAAAACCAAAACAGCACCAAATTCACAACCTTGAGAATAAACTCATGACATGCCTACCAGCTGACAATGAATTCTGTGTTTCATCTCTGTCCTGTTAGCACTCCTACCTATTTCTCATTCCTTTTATCAAAACTTCACTTGTCTTTTGTGGTTTGTGTCCACATATTTCCCATTCCTTTTAACAAAACTTCACTTCCATTCCTCTGTTTCATATCCTTTACCTACCCTTCTTTCTTTGCTTTTGAGCGATCTGTGCTTTGTTCCTCACAGCATGTGGTTAAGCCTGATGCCTGAAAGCAATGCACCAGTATGAGTCTCTCTGACAGATCCCAAAAAGGAAGAAAGATGCCTGATTACCCAGTGGAGAGATATTTGCAATGCACTTGAGGGTGAGCTTTATCATTTTGGCCACAAGCTATGGCTTGGTTGCCATCATGGCCTGTGCTTCTCCAAGAGAGTCTATTTGAACAATTAGTTTGCTCTTCAGTACCAACCTTCACAGGACAGTTTCAATGACAAGGCTGAATTTAGCTTGCAATCACAGAGATAAACAGGGTCTGATGTGCATTTGGTTTTCAGAAGTGTGCCATCAATGTAACAAAGACAGTTTCCTAAAAAGTGTTTGCAACAGAAGACACACCTCTAGATTATTAAGTCATTTTGCTGCCACAGAAGTCTCTTAGACAAGTAGGACATAAAATTGAATTGAATTTTTACGTAACTAGAAGTCCCATGTAGTAAATTACACAATCTAATTACTAAACTGCTGCCTAATCTGTTAAATGAACCAAAATCCTACATCAGAAGAGCAGGTAGGTATTTATATACTGCAAGACAAATAACTTTGTTATTGTATCATTAAATTTGAGAACACATTATGCTTTAAATTGCTGTTAACAGATTGTTTGTTAAGCTGCAGTATAAATTTGATTTCAATAATCAAATTTCTTTGCCAGTGTCAATTTTACTCTCATCCTCATGCTCTCTTCTGCCTTGCATCAACAGAAGCCCATGGAACACGTCAGCAACACAGACCAGTGACATCACTGTTGCTCTTGAACTGCTAAAGTCTCCTGAGCTGGTAATTGCATATTATTATCATATCTAAGAAATAAAATCCATCACTGGTATAAGAAGCTATGGAAAAAGTATTTTGATTTGAGGCAAGATGCCTAACCACACCTTGAAAAAGCTATGAGCAATCACAGAGCTAGGAACAGAATATAGCTTTCTTATCAGTTTTCACTGGAAAACTTGTCACACTGTAAATCAGGTAACCCTCTTCCCTCAGTGTGGTGGCTTGGCATTTAGGCAAAGAAGTGGGAAACAGCCCTAAAACCCACCACACTCAGTTTTAACTGAGAAATAAAAACCAGGATGTGTATAAGCACTGTAGTGGTGTACCAGTATTAGCATAGTATTTCTTTAGAAATACTAAAATCTATGAATTTTCTAGATATGTCTAAATATTTTTCAAAAATTTGTGAGGTATTTTGGCATGAAATGTGATGAAAAAGAAATTATTTCTTCCCCAGTGTGCAGACACAAATAAGACCCCTTCAAGAGAGTGCTTGTGATCCAGTTTATGAAGTTCACAGAGAGGTGATGTATTTCAAGTGCAGTGGACTGACACCTGTTCCATTAAGTTGTTGTATACAACTTCAAACATGGCTCACTGTTCTGCATGAATCTATGAAGGAAGAACACTATTCCATGTTTGTGAGTACGACAGAGTACTGTATTTCTAGTAGAACTGTATTTCCATCAAAGACTTTTCATTAAGAGAAGAATCACTGTGGTTGATTGCACTATTAGCATGCACTAATTTCAGCTAAACTCCCTTTGCTGTAGCAGAGGCCAAATGTAACAATAACCCTACCATGTGGATTGGCAGCAGGAACCCACTCTATCAAGCATCGGAGGTAAACACAGGACCTCTGTTTCCTGGATAATCATTAAACAAATTCAGATAGCCTGATTTTAGAAACATGGAATGTTTTAACGGTGTCCTAACTGAGGTTAAAAATGTGCAGAAAGGCTGTCTTATTTTCTATCTTCTTTCTATCTGTCTCATTTGCTATCTCCTATGACTGAAAAAAAGGGAAAGTAGTATTTATTACGTTAGACTCTCATGCTGCAGTTCTACCCCAATATATAATAGAGCAGTATTCTTCTACCCTCTGAGATGTTTAAAAAAGTCAAATTGAAATACATGCAACACATTTTAATATTGTATGTTGGTATACTCTCAAGTAAAAAAAGTTAATTAATAATGAGATAATTTTTATTATAGTCATAGTAATTGATGAAAAAAATTGTTTCTTTCTAAGTCACTTACTTTGAAGGAAGATGATATTCTGATTTTCTGATCATTGCCAGATGTAGGTAACAGAAGATAAATATATGCCTTTCCAAAATAAATGTCCAAGGTCCCTAATAGATATCCACACTTCAGCACAACTGCTGTGAAATGAAAATTACTATGAAACTACTAAAGCTTTTGCACAGTTATTCATCCAATAAAACCCTGCCGAGGAGGAGTTACTTCTTGGCTAATAGAGCTGTTTATTTCTCTGAAACTGGCAGAGCCCCAAATTCAGAAACATTCATAGTTCTCAAGTCACATAGTTCATATTCCTAACTAGTTTGAATTCTGGTCTTTCATATTGAATATATTGCTTTAATCAAGGCAGAGTCCTTTCCTTAAATGTCCAGTAAATCTAATCAGTCAAAGAAACTTTTGGCCATGTTAATTCCAATGATTTGGGAAATTGAGGTCTTTCTTTGTGCAGCAGTATTTATCACTAATGTTGCTTTCATTCTTTAGCTAATAGGGACAAACTTCAGAGCCTTTAGAACAAACTCTGGCTAAGG